CATATACAACCCTTTTATGTACAGAGAACAAGCTGATGACAGATTCAAGCTTTTATAGTATTGACTTTAATCTTTCTATTGCCAATTTGCATCTTTTTGCTTGTAACTCATTTGAAGAGTCAATGAGTTTTCTTTTACAGGTCTCTATGGAATCAGGCTTTTGAGTTTCTTCTCTGGCACGACTTAGTCCTGCTGTTAAGTCAACCATTTTCTGTTCCCATTCTTCTAAATGTTTTCTTATTTCTGCCAGTTGTGTATCTTGATCATGTATTTTTTTCGCCTGTTCTTGCATCTTTAAACTCTGCATTCGCATCTGAAAGCCCTGCCTCTTCATTCTAAGCTTCATTTTACTTATCTGACCTTTTACAGAGAGGACGGATAATTTATTCTTTTTAGTGCGACTGTAGATTTTTTTGAAAGTTTGATTTAGTTGATCTGAATTAAAGTTATGAGGCAGTGTTGTATTAGTTGGATTAGTGGTATGGTGAGAAATCATTAAACTTCCACCTGGTAGTTCATAAGAGCCTACATTACTAACGACAGACGTACAAATGCTATGCTTTAAATCTGGCAAGATCTTTTCATCAAAATGTTCCATAGCCATACTACTAATATCTCTTAATTCCTGAAGTATTTCGTGAGCTCTTGGTGGAGTTTTTGAATCACGAATTAAACGAAGAACACGAAAAATTTCATCGATTACCTGACACAAATTCATTGCGTATTAGAACTTAGTGTATATTATATTTGTTGTATAACAGTAAGATTTTTTACCTTGCCGGGGATAAAACAACACAGATTGAGGTCCACGTATTTGATAAACGTCATGGATAACATGGATATTCGCGTTTCAATCGCTGTCAATATATCACAATGACGTGCCAAAGGATGACTTCTCCTTTCTGATTCTCTTCGCGGCAGTTGACTTTTTACAGCACGCAAGCATTGCGCGTGATATTTTTCCATTAAATTGAAACCTCTGTTCAATAACTTCTTACATATTCGATCGAATTGCTTACAAATCTGTAAAATTGGAATTTACGGAAACCAAATTATGCTAGACCAAATGATGAGACCAAGATGACAAATCACACAGAAAATTAAACAATGCAACCTTACAATTCTGTAACGAGAAATTTCGTCGTACGTAAGGTTAGATAAAATCGTCTCCAAAACAATATCGGGAAGATTTATTAATTGCAACATGTTTACTCCTTGGGGCTTCACAGCACTATATTCAATACTATCATTCGCCGAGAATATTGTTCAAACGTTGACGTTAATTTTGTATCTTTTGCAATCAGCAAGCAAAAACAGAAGGTACAGTTTTAACTATAATGCATACAATATTACTATCACAATTCGCAATGTTTTGACCGACCGATGACCTATAAACAAATATAGCTGTATTACATGTACATACTATATGTACATACTATGTATATGTATGTCATATACAGCGTGTAATCCGAACATATGGCTATGTTCAAACATATATGCATGCATAGGTACGTACATACCATGATGCATACATACATAATAGCATAGACGCAAAGGATTCTTGCAGAGATGTTTTTTGAGAAGCAATTTTCAGTGCTCGTGCTCATGCGTTGTGTGTTTACAGTAAATATTCTTTGGTTTTTCTATATGGAGTTAATTGTCTAGAAATAGAATTTTGACGATCTATCCAAAGGTCTTGGTTGCCTATCTATATGATTATAGAATGTTTAATGGCCGGATGTAACACAAGATCGGCTCACGTCCGCCATATTGTTGTGTCACGTGACGAGGGAGTAGCGAGGTGAGTGCGCCGGGTCGAATTCGTGAGGAATAGTAAAAAATTTTGGACATCACCAGCCAACACAAAACTAATTACAACATGGATGTACGAAAAGTGACAGAATTGCTTCGTGCCACGATCGACCCAGCGCAACAAAAACAAGCCGAAGAGCAACTGAATCAGGTCAGTCAATTGAATCAAAAAACGTGCTCGAACGGTCGACACTTAGACAGAAACATGTGCCTCCCCACGATTACTTTTTTTTCTTTACTACCATTTCCCCTTTTCATAATTTGCAGTTCAATCGGAGAAATAATTTCTCAAAATGATTCGCCACCATGTACACCAATGCTTGAATACGATCATTTCATCGTCTCTTCCCCTTGAGAACGACCTTTAACCAAATTCATGATCCTTTTCATTCACTTATTTTAATTTCAAGTTCTTTTATTTAATGATTTTTTCCAGCTGATCCTACATACAGAAATTAATTTCTTAATGTACTAAAATTTGTGTATCATTTTGCTTTCGTCTAGTTTTTATTGGATAGTTAAAAACTAATTTCCTCTTAATAGTTGCAGTTCCAGCTTGCATAATGTATTAAATCGTTAATATTATAATTCATTGAAATTTTATATCTCATTTAGTTATTGTATGTTAATATCTTACTTTTAGTTTAATATTGGTCTCGTTGATATGATAATCTAACATTTTATCATTCTTATTGTGTTATATACAAAGAATAGTTATAGGCTATGAATTAAAACTAATACAGTATTGTTCATTCAAATTTGTTTATAACAAGTATTATAGTTTTGATTATATTAAGTGCAGATAAAAATTATATTAGATCACAGAATATATTTTCTTCCACATTTGCATAGAATAAATTTGGATCTGATATAGTATATAATATAAGATATGCTTTCAGATTCACAAAATTATTGGCTTTGCACCAACACTACTCCAAGTAGTAATGACTGCAGAAGATATGCCTGTACGACAAGCTGGTAATTAATAAATATGATTTGTACCAAGTAAGGACTAAGATATAAACATGGTTACTGATGATTCTGTAATTGGTATAGGTGTTATATATTTGAAAAATTTAATTACAAAAAATTGGGCTGACAGAGAAAGTGACAATGGTCCTGTTGAGTTTAGCATTCACGAACAGGATAGAGCTATGATTCGTGATGCGATTGTTGATGTTCTTGTACATGCTCCAGAACTTATCAGGTACATTTATTTCCATAAGTCGTAATCATAAATTACACAGTGTATTTAACGATAATAACAATAATTTTCTTCTCATTAACGTAGAGTGCAATTGGCTGTTTGTGTTAATAATATAGTAAAACACGACTTTCCTGGAAGATGGACACAAATAGTGGACAAAATTACAATATATTTACAGAATTCAGATGCTTCCTGCTGGCCAGGTGTCCTATTAGCATTGTATCAACTTGTTAAAAATTTTGAGTGTGTATCTTACTGAATATATATACTCATATATAAAGATAAGTATAATGTTTAACATTATATGATCTCATATAGGTATAAGAAAGCCGAAGAAAGGGGGCCACTAAATGAAGCAATGAATCTCTTGTTCCCTATGATTTATCAGTTGATATTGCGACTTTTGCCAGATTCCTCTGACCAATCAGTCTTACTCCAAAGGCAAATATTAAAAATATTCTTTGCTCTTACACAGGTAGGCAACTTATAACTTTTCAAATTATTATCTCTTTAATATTTTATCGGTATTATGAGACTTGATTCTTTTGTCGTTAATTAATTTACTTTGCTCGTTACTGTTTCAGTTTCTATTTAGTTTCATTATCTGTGTTCTAGTATACGCTTCCTCTGGACTTAATTTCGAAAGAAGTTTTTTCGCAATGGATGGACGTGGTGCGACAAGTGGCAGATAGGCCAGTTCCGCCCGAGACAAACAATCCAGACTTTGATGACGACGAACGAGCAGAATTGCCATGGTGGAAGTGTAAAAAGTGGGCACTTCACATTCTTCACAAAATGTTCGAGAGATATGGCAGTCCTAGGCATGTAACCAAAGAATACAAAGAATTTTCTGAGTGGTACCTGAGAACATTCAGTGGAGGTATACTCGAAGTTCTTTTGAAGATTTTGGACCAATATCGAAGGAATATATATGTATCACCAAGAGTAATTCAACAATCAATAAATTACATTAATCAAGGGTAAGCATCAGCATTTAAAACATTCTAAGTCGATTGAGATTCTTACCTTTATTGTGCAGACTGTCTCAATATACTTGATACAATCGAAGGACTTTATATAAAACATGGCGTTCCACAAATACTATGACACCTTGTATAAGTAATTTTTTAAAGTGACACATCTCGATAAACTACTGTTTTACATTTCCAGAGTGAGTCATGCATATTCGTGGAAGTTCTTAAAACCACACATGTTTGAGATTATTCGTGATGTACTCTTCCCAATCCTTTCATATTCTGCCGCAGATGAGGAACTTTGGAATAACAATCCACATGAATATATTAGAGTGAAGTTTGGTAAGTTAGAATTCGTATTGTCTGCGATCTCTTTGAAACACCAAAAATATAAAAAGAATATCATGAGTTTTATATAAACAATCTTTTCCTTTCTCTTTCATGAAAAAAATTTATTATTATTTCTAGATATCTTCGAAGATTTTGTATCTCCAGTAACTGCAGCACAGACTCTCCTACGCTCGGCTTGCAAAATGCGTAAAGGTATGCTTCAACAAACTATGCGATTCTGCATGGAAGTCTTAACTAGTCCGAATGCAGATCCCAGTCAAAAGGACGGTGCGTTGCACATGGTACGTTAATTTTAATTAAACAATTCCGTATAAAGTTCAGAAAATCTCTAAAAATTTTATCAAAAATTAAAATTTTCTCATAGGTCGGAAGTTTAGCAGATGTATTGTTAAAGAAGAAGGACTATAAAGAACAGATGGATAAAATGTTGTTGCAATACGTGTTCCCCGAATTCAATAGTTCTCACGGTCATATGAGAGCAAGAGTAAGCAAAGCTCTTTAATGAAAGAATAATTTTGATTTAAGAGAACTATTTCTATATCGGCTGTTTTAGGCATGTTGGGTGTTGCATTACTTCTCCGAAATAAAATTCAAGCAAGAGCAAATATTAGTGGAGGCTATCCGATTGACGACGAATGCTCTCCTGAGGGACCAAGATTTACCAGTTAAGGTGGAAGCTGCTATCGCTCTGCAAATGTTGCTCTCCGCTCAAGATAAAGCACAAAAGTATATAGAACCATTGATCAAACCTATCACTCTTGAATTATTAAATATCGTACGCGAGACGGAGAACGATGATTTAACAACTGTTATTCAGAAAATTGTTTCTACGTATTCAAACCAGCTTATGCCGATCGCTGTACAAATGTGCCAGCATTTAGTAAGTATAAGATTTTTTAATTACTTTTGAATAAAGTATGGTCAAGAAGTTGATAGTAACTTCATTTGCTTTATTAGGCTGCAACATTTAGTCAAGTGCTTGAAACTGATGAAGGCAGCGACGAAAAAGCCATAACTGTCATGGGTTTGTTAAATACAATAGAAACCTTATTAGGTGCAATGATTACAGAGCCACAAATTATGGCACAGCTGCAACCTACAGTGCTTCACGTTATTGCACATATTTTTGGAAAGAGCGTCATGGGTAAGCTGTCATTTGCTATGTTGCAAATAAGTATAATTAAATTATTTTAATCAATGTTTTAACTTTTTGAATTTTGCAGACTTCTACGAGGAAGCACTTTCTTTGGTTTATGACTTGACTAGCCAGTCGATTTCTAGCGATATGTGGAAAGTTCTAGAATTGATGTACCAATTATTCCAGAAAGATGCGTTCGAATATTTTATTGACATGATGCCCGCCCTTCACAATTACATTACAGTGGATACCCCAGCATTTCTTTCCAACGAGAATCATGTTTTGGCTATGTTCAATATGTGCAAAGCCGTACGTTATAAATCAATATCTCTTTCTCAATCGAAGAAATATAGGATATTACAAAGAATCTATTTGGTAGGTATTGACTGGAGATGCTGGAGAAGATCCAGAATGCCACGCAGCCAAATTGTTAGAAGTTATAATTCTTCAATGTAAAGGGCACATCGACCAGGTAAAATTTTTTACAAGTTTACGAATTAACGAATTCTTTGCCTATCAAAGAAAGATACTGAAAATCATTCTTTTAGTGTATACCATCGCTCGTGCAATTGGTACTGGAGCGTTTGATGCGTGAAGTGAAAACATCAGAATTAAGAACAATGTGTTTGCAAGTAGTAATAGCAGCCCTTTATTATAATCCAGCGTTATGTCTCGAAACAATGGACAGACTGCAAGGAAATTTTGGACAGTCGACGGAGCCAATTGCATCTCACTTTATTAAACAATGGATACACGATACGGACTGTTTCTTGGGGTAAATATTTTACGATTTCTTAAATTAAAATACCGTCTATTAAACATTCAATTACACATATAATTTTTGTTCTAGATTGCATGATAGAAAACTCTGCGTTCTTGGACTGTGTACATTAATTAACATGGGCCCCGCAAGACCTGCAGCAGTAAATGAATGCGCTCAACAAATTATACCGTCATTAATTTTACTTTTCGATGGTTTGAAGAGAGCTTACGCGGCTAAAGTGTCTGACATGGATGATGATGAAAACGACGATGATGATAGCGATCTCGATGAAGGTAAATTAATTAAATAAAGGAATAGGAACTCCTAAGTATAAAGGGAACAATATAGTTATTTTATTACGTGTTGACAGAGGTACTATCATCGGACGAAGATGAAATCGATGATGATAGCCAAGAATATTTGGAGAAGCTACAGGACAGGATCACAAGGTCGTCAACGCAACATGGTTTTAATGTGTCAGCTTCAATTCAAGACGGTCATGGTGATCATGGATCAGACGATGATGGCGACGACTCCGAGTATGATGCCAATGAGGAAACCCCTCTCGAGTGCTATGTCACACCCTTAGATTCGGAAAATACGAATCAGGACGAATACATTGTTTTTAAAGAAGTCATGCAAAGTAAGCAAAACTAAGTTGATAAATGTATTCTTTTAATTCGCGCTTACATAATCTGTTTACTTATGCTTTCAGGTATTGAAAGATCAGACATAGTTTGGTACAGGGCATTGACTGATCACTTGACTTCGGAGCAGCAGAAGGCGTTACAGGAAATTATCCTCCTTGCGGATCAGCGCAAAGCAGCTCTGGAAAGTAAAAGAATTGAACAGAGTGGTGGTAAGTTTTTGGATGATATCGTTTATTGATTTCAATCGCAACTAGAAGCGGCTGTGTACAAATGTAAATTTCTTTCTCTAGGGTACGCTTTCCACTCGCAGACTGTACCTACATCGTTCAACTTCGGCGGAGCGCCTCTGACTCGATAAAGGCTCCCGGTCGTTTATATTTCTAGCTTAAGTAAGTAAATAAATTGCGAAGCATCCGAGTCGAGTATCCTTATCGACACAGTAACTCGTTCCCATTTCGAGTTTGAAACCGAGTTGTGCAATAGATCATGTCAAAAATTGAGAGCGTTTTTTTTGTTATTGTTTGTTTCTCCACGTATCTCTTGACATTTCTTGACCATAACTCGGTACATACAACAATGGTAGCATCCTTTCGAGCGTTTGGAAATCCATTCCACGATGGAATCTGCGGAGAAGCACGTTTCTTCTCGTAGTACGCACTAGTACAAATGTAATTAAATCTGATAATACACAAAATTATATTATGTAATATATACATATATAAATTCAAGTGAACATATATAAATTCAACAATACAACTAAACATATATAAATTCAATCATGTCGCACGAAGGATCGTGAACCTTCTCTTGATTATTTGTGTATTTCGATTTCCAGATTCCAGGGAATATGTTCTGATCTCGATTTCCAAATCACCGTGCTTCTTCGCCGAGCTCACGCCAATCCATTGTCCAGCGCGATCGAATCTTTTTTTGTACGAGAAGAGAAATGGTTATTTAGGATGAGAATGGCAATTCTGGTACGAAAGAAAGTGAGAGTCATGCATGACTGAGAGATAGAGAGTAAAAGAAAGAAAAAATGAGGGAAAAAAAGTAGATCAAAAAGGAGAAAGTCGTTCGATCGCTCTTGAAGCGCTCGAAAAAGTGCCTTCAAAACACGCTCGACGTAGATGGGACCTAAATTAAGGACAGCAAGTTGGATCGAGGCTAGGACGCTTCTCTAGTTTGTAAGTTTCTCGTAAGCACTGTATTAAAGTATAATAAATTAATGCTAATTCAGAGGACATGCTTGATTCAGGACCTCGTAGCGTTGATTCCATTAATCGATATAAATTTCATAATGAATTGTAAATAAACGAACATTTTCAAAATGCTGGTAAAGTAATCGTACACCATAGATCAACAATATGTCAGTTTGTATATTTTCTTTAAATCATGTTTCATACTACAAGTTTATAATTTAGGTAGACGTAGTCGATTCGCTAAGAGTTCATTTGTATAAAATGTATCTCCAACTATTTTTTTAAACATCCGTTTGGAATATTTATGAAATTATTGCCAGAGCATGAAATATTCTGTAAAGTTCATATGTTTATCTTATTAAAAGTATACATGTAAAATGTCTAATAATTTTTTCGAAATAATATTGTTACATTTTACTTCGTCGTCGAAAAGTGTAAATAGAAAATTGCTGTGTTTGTAGATCGTAGAAACAAAAGCATTGTACCAACAATCGAGCGCGACTTTTACAGTTAACGTTTCCACGCTTTTCCGTATACCTATATAATCAATCGAATGTTGTTTCAATGCTTAAAGCTTACAGGATTACGACTTCAGGATCATGATAAATGTGGATAAGAATGCAAAAGTTTTTCCTTAACAGCCTTATATTCCACTTTCCATCGATACATAAATTAAATTACGTGGTTTTCCGATAAAGAGCGTAGCAGGATATATCCGCTCGTGGAAAATAATTTATATCCTGCGAAAAGTGATTCTCAGAGCGGAGACACGTTTGTGAAAAGAGTTGCGACGATCGCTATTGCATATGCGTTTGCAAATCTTGTACACGTATTACATATCTATATACATATTTTTTTGTTAAAAAGATTGGCTACGAACGTGACTAATAGTGATTTCTCGAGAGGAGTTGTAACAATTTTTAACATAATCCTTAATAATGGTTGATACTGATGGCACAAACACCGCAATTTCAGTCGAATTCAAATTTCAAATAAACTTAGATGATCGCAAGAAAAATCGGGGTGATTGTGGCCAAAGATACATTTCTAGCAAAGTCATAATATTTGTAATCACAGATTCATTACTTGAGAATAATTTTTGTTTTAACAATCACTATTTGATAAATTCTACTTCTATTTATCATTGAATCGACCAAGTAAGAAACTTGCAAGCGTAAAGACAACTTCGATCCTCTGCAAAATACTGCTTTAAAAAGAGAACAGAAAAGAAAATGTATCCCACAACTCCGAGAGAACGACGCATTAATGTCGTTACTTTATTTTTTTTTTTTGTTTTGTTTTCTACCTATGGTTTGGTGACCAAAGGTGTGAAGCACTCGAGATCAAGAAGACGCAAAGAGGTCCGTCGATAAATGAACGTGATGGACGAGAGGAACGCGTTCAGAGCAAGGAGAAATTTTACTCTTGGTCTCTTTCCTCAGTGTGTCCTCGAGGGAAACGAGCACTATTTCACTTCAGACATCGTTCAAAGTAAAATGAGCCGATATATCCGCCTCTCATTGCTTTTGCTACATTTTGCTCAAACCCTCTCCTATTATTTTGTAGAACTTCAGCAGCATCTTTATTTAATGGATCTTCTGGATTAGGTTCCTAAACAGGCAGCAATATTCGTTGAAAATGTACATTTCATCTGTTTCGGTTTATTAATGCAATAAACTCTGCAATGGCACACTGAGATGTCTCGGATTAATGAAATTTTGCATATTTATATTCAAAAATTTTTATAGTTTTTTTTAGATAATTCTACTATAGTATTCTCTAGTCTTTAAAAACAGTATGTCTTTGCAAAGGTAATAGGATCATTTTGCTTCCCTTGGACTAAAAAATTCTATTAATATGTTATATTAATTACCAAAAAGAGATATTGTAGTCCGTAGACGATAGAATTAATAGTGAGAACTGGTTTCCAATCTTCTCTTAAGATATTCAAACACACATTACCGTCCAGGTCAATATTCGGATGATAAACTTGTGTCTCGCATTTGACTTTAGGTGGTTCATGCGGATAGTTTGGTCCAACTTTAAAACCAAAAACAAATCTACCACCCCTATAAAATCCCTAAAAAAGATAAGAAATCATATTTACTCAATTGAAAAATAGTTTTACATAATAACTTTACCTCATCTGGACAAATAATTAGTTTGAAACTAAGAAGATCATCAGGATCAGGAAACTCCGTTCCACATGTTTTTGGCAAGTTTAGTTCGTTTATATCTATGGAAAGTAGAAACCATTTAATAATTTAGTCTTATTTACCAATATATAAGATTTTGGAATAATTTCAAGCAGTAGCTATTTATGTACTAAAATTCACAATAGCTTAATAAGCAATCTAAAAGATATTTTAACATGCGCATATTATAATATTGTTTGTATTGATGTAGAATGAAGCTAAGAAACAAAATATAGATTCCTGAGAGCGTAATTTTATAAATAAAAGTGATCGAACAAGAGTCACTTGAAACCATTGTTGGTAATTTTTCATACATGTAAAAGACGTTAAAAAATTTCGAAAAGGACTTTCACAAAGGACAAGTTCAATTGTTGCGTGCCGAAGAAAATAGATAACCGACAGAATAAGAGAAAAAAAATAGGGAAAAAGACGATAAAAGGTCATCAATGAAACCTTTTGTAATTCTTAGTTGTGCTGCCGATGCCTTTTTTTGGGTGCCAGGTTTCGGCGACTCGCCATCCTTTTTCGCCTGTTTTAACGAGAATAATTTAATCATGATAAAGTGGTGTTGCCCGGCGTGGAAGGCATAAAAAAGTCTCTTCTTCCTCTGTTGACCACGCGCGTGGACAGTGATACACGCAACAAAACTCTCTTTTTGACAATGGAAACAACTACCGTGAATTTACGACTGATCTCACGTAAGACGTACAACAGATCGTTGTTGTTGCTGTCACGGTACTAAAGCTACTTTTTGGCATCGTCTGGTTAAATCTTTATACAGTAGTAAACGCTCTTTACCATCTACTCATATGAGATACGCTCGAGAGCAGGAGAAGTTATTTTACGTTTGCTTTCATTGGCTAGCAATTTATTAGCGATAGTGCTGTCACGCAACGAGAGACAAGGAAAAATTGTATCAAACGAATGAAAGAGCATATAAACGCAGCGCTCACAAGGAACAGCAATATTCAATTACGTTTTATGACGGTTTGTATCAGAGAACAAATAAAAAGCAAATGAATACAATGTTTTTCTTCACGAAACGCTTCTTTTTACTTTAAACTGACCTTGTATTCAAATTTACCGCCACAATGTTTCCTTTGCTCATCATCTCTCTCTCTTTTTCGAATATCTGCGCATTCTTGAGTGCGCAATGGAATGACGGTGGTTATGTATTCAACTACATACTCACATATGTATGCACGTAGCGGTAAGAAGCATTTGCTGTGTTTCATTTGCGTATAAAATGGCATATATAATGCAGTATAGTAATTTCCAATGCACGTGTAAAGTCTATTAAAAGATTTAGATCTCTTAATGATTATTAATTTTACATTAAAGAAGCTCTTGATTTAATTTATGTATCTATTGATTCTAATGAATCCGTTGTTTCAAGATAAGTAATTTTGAATATTATTAATCATAGATTTATACAAATTAGTCTTTACTTTTAAAATATTTCAAATAGAATTTTTTCCAAATAGTTTTATTTAATTATCAGAACTACAAAGCGGAGGCATATGTGCTTATTTGAAATAAGGACTGTCTTCCGCGGTGAGTGATAATTACAAACAAAAGATAACATTCGTTGCATAATTTCGAATCGTTGGTAAATTAATTAAAATTTACGTTATCATTATTTAAATTATCTTGCGTTAATACAAGCATAACGCGTACGTCATGCATTTATTGAATACGATTGGAGAATAGTTACAATAACGATTTGAGGTTTGACCAATTGGAATTTTTCGCGTGTGTCTGGTGAACTTTAAGTTGAGAAGCGAGAACGTCTTGCCTGATATCGGCCGTTATACGAACGATTGTTTGATGTTGCAAAGAGAAATATATAAACACTATAGATAGTTCAATGTTCGTTTCAAGCTAGCGCGAGGTTTAAGACGTCAATGGCTTGCATTCGTTGTGCATGTTGCTTGGAACGATTGGTGAAGTAACGAAGCAGTTCTTGTGATTCGCATATTTGCTCAAATTTGACAGTGAACGTGGACACAATGGCTGGAACCCGAGACGAGATTTTGGCCGATTTTCAGGTGATCCAGTCAAGCCTCGATTTTTCGTTAACTTTCAAATACAAATAAAGTTTGAGGTTATGATATATGAAGTAATGACATTGACAATAGTTGAAATCGACGAATATCAATGTTGAGATGCTTTCTCTGTTTTGTCTGACGATCTGTCAGAGTTCTCTGTAATATTTTCGAATATTTAAAAAATATTCTAATACCAGTCTCTTGCTGTTTTGTATCGCGTATTTTCCAATGTTTCTTCCCCGTGTTCGAAAATCTTTGTTTCTTTGTCTGTACACAGTTGTGTCTCTGAGTCACTTGAATCTTTATTTAAAAAGTTCTAATGTATTTGTTTATGTAAAACGAAGCACGAAACAGTTTTATCTGTGCTACATTCTCCTTTAAACTTGATTTCATTTTGTTAGCATGTAATGCATTTAAAACTGTGACAATTGTTTGCACTATTTTAGGCTTGTACTGGAATCGACGATGTTGGACATGCCATTAAATATTTAGAGGAATCAAGTTGGGATTTATTGGTAAGTATGTATATAAATTTTTCCATAAATTACTCAATGTAACAGAATGTTTTGCAACTCATGTAGGTAGCAATAAATCAAGCCATGCCTAGTGATACGCAACAACTACCCTCTGAAATGAGTCCTGATATAGAAATGATAGAGGAAATTGAAAGGATGCCACATTCATCTTCATCATCAGCATCTCAAACTGTTAATGATACAAAGAATAGCACGAAAGTGGATGTTATAGAAAATTCAAAGCCAGGAACAAGTAAATATAAAAATTATGCAAGAGCAAGAACACTCACATTCTGTGTTAATTACCTTAGTAACGTTCACATAATAAATATACCTGAGTCTTCATCTGTGAGTAAGTATTTGATTATTTTCTTTATTATTTTCTATTAACACTAGTTAGTACTAGCTTTTAACTGAAATTTATTACGTCTAGGGGATCTGAAGCAACTTATATGGGAACGGACAAATATACCAAAATGTGAACAACATCTCCGTGGATGGAAAAAAGTACCAGAGTCACTTTCTACACCATTACACACATTAGATTTGCCAAAAGAAAATACCTTGTATATGTCAACTTTGCTAGATTTTATGACTGATGAGTAAGTATACTTGTGAGAAAATGATATTTCATTACTAATACAAATTTTAGTACATAAATTATACTTTCAGCGATAAGTCAAAGTGTGCAGAACGTATGACTCAAATATACACCTTAAATATCAAAGATGAAACACATAAGAAAACGTACAATTTAAAGTTTGGTGGATCGAGCACTGTCTTGGATGTAAAATCTGGTATAGATGCATTGATAAATGTTCCTATTCGAAATCAGCAATGGAAAGGTTGGCCCAGTACAGTGAAAAATGATAGCATAATGCTAGCACAAACTGGAATCTCTTATCCAGAACATGATCTATCCGTTACCGAGCTACCTTCGAAAGAGGAAACAAAGGTATTTTCTGACATGGATAAATAATATGAAAATTGTGTAATATATAAATAATATTTTGTCCGCCCTTAGGAAGTTATAGACCTGGTTGAAAGCGATAGTTCTTTAGATGAAGCATATGACGTAGAGGATTCATTCAATGTTGATGATGATATTTTCATAGATATTAAAACTACTAAAATTCAACGTCTTAGTAAGTAAATCTGCTATCACGTTAATCGTGAATAGATTCATAAAACTAAATTATATGTTTTACAGTGCCTGATAGTGTTACGGACGAGACTGTGGGAACACTGCATTTTGCCGAAAAATTTGAAAAACGATATGGGCCAGCGCATCCAGAATTTTTTACAGGCAGATTTAAGGATGTTGTTAAAGAGTCATGTTTAAAACCGGCGAAAGAGGTTTGTATTTAATCGAATTACATACCTTAAATAATATTCCGTGAAAAATATAAATTGAATATTTTTCAGAGAAAATTGTTAGCTGTTTATTTACATCACGATAACAGTATACTAGCGAATGTATTTTGCACTGAATTGTTAGGCTTCGAAACGGTATTGCAAGTATTGTCTGCAAATTTCATTGTATGGGGTTGGGATATTACTTCTGAATCTAATAAGCAGAGGTACATATTGTTTTAAGAATAACTATTTCTGTTTAAACATATAATACTTTTCTCTGTAATTAGTTACTCTTGAATTTCAGGTTTCTTTTATCAGTCAAAGAGACACTAGGATCAGTAGCAGCGTTGGCTATGAAGAATATAGACGTTGACACATTACCCGTTCTTGTAATCATAATGAGAATCCGATCGAATACAGAAATATTTACAACAGTTCATGGTAACGTGGGGGTCAGTGAATTGCTGACCAATTTAATTCACGCCGTAGATGTATTTCAGGTGAATGAAAGTGATTTTACACAATTAGATAAATCCAGATTATATTGCAATTTAAAATATTTGTTTGGATTTTTTAATTAATAGGAATATAGACGCGCTGATATCGAAGTCGAAGAAGAAAGACAAGAGAGAGAAAGGGTGAAGCAAGAACAAGATAGAGCGTATCAAGAAAGTTTAGCAGCAGATAGGTAAATAATAATACATTAACTGCAATATCAAAAGAATAGGACATTTTTTAAACGATATTTATACTACTATGTAGAGCAAAAGAGAAAGCGAAAGAGCAGAAGAAAATGGAAGAAGAGCTAGAGAAGAGACGGAAAGAGGAGGCAGAAAATGAGAAGTTGGTCGAAGAAGCAAAAAAGGAAGCTCATAGACGAGCCCTAGAAGACAATCTTCCACCTGAACCACAGCAAGCGGTAGGAGATGGTGTACTGAAAGTCAAAGTATGGCTACCAGCTGGGAAATATCTGGAGCGCAGATTTCAGTCAGACACGCCGTTACAAACGCTTCTTAATTTTCTCATCGTGGAGGGTTATCCTACAGAAGAGTATAAGGTCCTATGTAGTTGGCCTCGAAGGGATGTAAGTAGATGATGTAAGCATTTGAGTTCTCATTATATAGATGTTTCTTTGCGTCGTTTCTTTTTCTGCCGCGTTCATTACAGTCAAAGTACTTGCATTCATGTTTTCATAAGAAATTTAAGCATGCGTTTGAGATTGACACATGATCAAGTTTTATGTTTTTTCTAGTTGACGTCTATGGATTCGCAACTTACTCTCATGGACCTAAAATTCTGTCCTCAAGAAACGGTAATTCTAGAAGAACGATAAGTATAAGTAATTTGTTGTAATTAAATTAAAATGTAGAAATTAAGCATTGCAATATTCTGAAAGTGTTATTTATTCAAAACTTTACAAGTTTCGAATAGTTGTCAGTTAATATGAGTTCTGTTTATTATACAATTACAACCATCAATTTTTATGTTATATTTTTTCGTACTATTTATTCGTACGACAAATGTGGTTTTATATATACATAAACGAAAAGAGAGAAGTCCTTTCCATGCATGTGCATTGTATATTTTAAATTTTTAGAAATAAATTACATTCTCTCTCTCTCTCTCTCTCTCTGAAAAACCTCAAACAAAAGTTGTCTTTTGTTTGTCGTTATTATGTTACAAAGTATCTTAAAGTATGTCGGGAAAGAACTTAATTTGTAAAAGATATATAAATAGAACTCGTAATAAAAAAATCTATATTTTAAATAATAGCACATCGTTCTAAGAATTTTTATTATAAATACAAAGATGAGGCGAAGACAATATCACGTTTTATAAGTTTGATTGCTTCGCTGAATTTATTCTCTAAGTCCGTATTTCCAATATTTTTTGCCGCTTGACACAATTGCCTAAGAACTTCCTCTAATCGCCGCATACATCGTATAATTGAACCTAGATAAATGAACAGAATTGCAGCTAAGTTAGTTGGGAAGAAACTAAATATAAAGATACAATCGCAAACGAATCATACGATAGACCCAACGTCTTACGGAAGTTTGTGTCACGATTCTCAAGTACTAATTAAAGTACTCATTAAAAATATTTATGATTTTGCATTTTAACCCTAAACCACTAAAATTAGCAAAAAGTAGCCACGACACAAAAATACATTGGATACTGTCTATCTTATATTTCGTTTATAAGGCAATGAAACAAAAAAAAAAAATAAAAATCTGCAATATACCTTCAAATATATCTGTCATTTTACAAATTTGTAAAAACGTAGCCCCTTTACTCCAAGAATATACTACATCCATGAGATAGGGTTTAAACCTTTCCACGTACGCGTCTTCATCTAACTCTAAATTAGCTTCTGTAGATACTTTCGCTATTCTTCGAGCTAAATCTTGCATTTGTCGAAGCGGACCACTTAATTCCTCCGTAGACCTTGGCATTTCATTCGACTTTTCGTCACAAACAAAACAACTAATTAATGCTATCATCTGTGGCACACTTAATGAATTGAATAATCCATTAAAGATCATCTCCGTCATTAACAATTCATCAGCTCCGTTCAGTTCGCAGGCCACACGGCCCTTTAATTGTATAACATCGGACGCTGTACAGTAATCCATTCTTCTCAGTACTCTTTTTCTACATTTTAATTCGTCCATTTGAAGTATCGATTTGGCTTTCTTCAGTTCTGATTTCGCTTGCTTTAACTGATCACCCAAATCCTCTTTATTCAAAAATTGCTCGTATAATGTATTTACATTGGAATCCTGTATTCAAGTAAAATAAAATATATTCAGTATATGGTGTTAGAACACTAAAGATTAGAATGATAGATATTTTACTTTGTGCAAAGGATGTGCGTATAGTCTTTCTTCAAGTAGTTCGATTTTTTTGACGATATCTTTGAATGCCTCGTCTTCTATACGCATGTCTGTGATGGGATTCAGGAGTGGTAATCCGTCGGGGAATCTTTTCTTCACTTCCTGTATTGTTTTCAATACACTTTTTCTATTGTCCGACGGTCTTAAATCTTTCGGATAATACAACCTAAGAGAACTGATTTGAGAAATTAATGTATGCAATACAGGTACCACTTCCACTTCACCCTCTTGCCCTTCATGGCAGGGTATAGGGCACCCTTCGCTGGATTCTTTCGAAATGTGCAGTAAAATATCAATAATTATGACTGTGTTCTCTCTTCCTGTTGGATTCTTTGGATTTTTCTTCTTAAAATTCACTATAATACCCCAATCGAACATCTCATTTTCATTCTTTACCTAGAATAACGAACATTTTAGAAGACACAATTCGTGTGTGTAAGTATTAGGTCTACCGGAAAGTTCTGTCCGATAATGTCATTACAAATTTCGNTGGTAATCCGTCGGGGAATCTTTTCTTCACTTCCTGTATTGTTTTCAATACACTTTTTCTATTGTCCGACGGTCTTAAATCTTTCGGATAATACAACCTAAGAGAACTGATTTGAGAAATTAATGTATGCAATACAGGTACCACTTCCACTTCACCCTCTTGCCCTTCATGGCAGGGTATAGGGCACCCTTCGCTGGATTCTTTCGAAATGTGCAGTAAAATATCAATAATTATGACTGTGTTCTCTCTTCCTGTTGGATTCTTTGGATTTTTCTTCTTAAAATTCACTATAATACCCCAATCGAACATCTCATTTTCATTCTTTACCTAGAATAACGAACATTTTAGAAGACACAATTCGTGTGTGTAAGTATTAGGTCTACCGGAAAGTTCTGTCCGATAATGTCATTACAAATTTCGATAGGTATGCACATGTTTATTTGAGACATATATTTTTGAAAAATGTTACTCACAAATTGCCATTATGCTGGCAAGAGGTTATAAGTAACGATAAATATATATATAACAATAAATATTACTAAATTTATGAAAAATCTATTATTTCCTTTCGTTTCTTAAACGGATAGAACTTTCCGGTAGACCCAATAATAGAGATAAAATGTACATAAACACATACTTTAACTAGCCTTCCAGGTTGCAAAAAAGGTAGCAAATACTCTGGCTTTGTCAAATAAGACCGGAACTCATTAGTAAGCCGATCAAGTTGTTCACGTATGTCATGATAAGACGATATTTGACTATACTTATCAATATCCACTGCGTTATATGCCGCTTGTAATTCTTTTACCTCTGTAATCATTTGTAAAAATAATCATTTTATACCAAATTGTAGTATGTAATTGGAAAAATAAACTATCTACTTACTATTGTACAAATCGGGGATAGAAGCTTGATTTTGAAACTGATAAAAACTCCTTTCAAGCATATATTCTGGATTAATTTCTTCGACTCTCAAAAGGTTCAGAACCATGTTGTACGTTAAATGGAACGCTGAATTGATGGGATCCGCTTTTCCTTGTACAATCGCTTTACCGATAACAGGACTAACTTGCTCATCGATCATCAGTATTACTATACCTTTCTCATCCAGTCCTCTTCTGCCAGCTCGGCCAGACATTTGTATGTACTCTCCGGAAGTTATCCAACGAAAATCTTTACCGTCGAATTTTCGTGAAGCGGTGAACAACACTGTTCGCGCTGGCATGTTTAAACCCATCGCAAACGTCTCCGTCGCGAAAAGCGCTTTTATCAGACCTTCGCCGAATAGTATCTCCACTGTTTCTTTCAATATAGGTAACAGTCCACCGTGATGAATTCCTATTCCACGTCTCAATAATGGCAAAACATTTTCCACCTGTGGTAAACGTCTATCTTCCTCGTTGAGAACATCCATAGCATTGTTAAATACCTCGTTCACCAGTTTTTTCTCTTCCAATGTGTTCAAATCCAATTTAGCCATCTGCATCGCGTAGATTTCGCAATCTTTCTTTGAAAAACTGAATATAATAACGGGCGCGAAATTTCTTTCCATAATCATCTTAACCATTTTAAAAATATTAGTTTGCCCAGCATTCGTAGCTCGCATACCCCCTTTACGGCCTTTTGTGTCACCTTTAGCTGCATCACCATGCTGCAAACACGCCATTGCTCTATTGAAGTTTTCTTCTTTAAATTGTCCAGCTTCATCTACCACCTACAGAAATGTATTTATTAAAATGTGTGTTTCAATTAATAATTCATATTAGTACTGTTTCACGAACCAAATGAATTCCATCACCCCCAACAGGGAATATATAATGTTGTAGCGGAGTTGGTCTATAGTCTGTGTAAACAACATGGCATGGTTGTTTATGTAAATGCGTAACCCACTCGACGAATTGTCGCGCATTTGGTATAGTAGCAGAAAGAAAAACGTAATGCACATTGTCCGGTAATAATATTAATGTTTCTTCCCATACAACGCCTCTTTCTTTGTCACGCATATAATGAATTTCGTCAAAAATTACCCATCCAACTTCACGCATAACCTATATTAAAATCAATTATATTATTAATATCGCAACACGATTCATCTGTACTCAAATCATTTATTCTACTCATAAATGAGCCTAACAAATTAAATGTACAATTATAACTTAAGAGTATCGATAATACCTCTGATCCTCTGTACAGCATATTTCTTAAGATTTCTGTGGTCATAATTAAGACACTGGCTGTTGGATTAATGGTAACATCCCCAGTTATCAAACCAACATCTTTGAACTCTTCAAAGAACTCCCTATACTTCTGGTTACTCAATGCTTTTATGGGAGTAGTATAGATTACTCTTTGTTTGTCTTTCAACGAACATGCTATAGCATACCTGTAAAATGAACAATCTATAATATGTTTCCTTGGACACTTATGCGTTTATAGTATAATACTTACTCCGCAACAACAGTTTTACCAGCTGATGTGTGGGCAGAAACTAAAACAGACTGATTGTTTTCTATACACAGTATTGCTTCCTTCTGAAATGGATCTAGTACAAATTTATATTCTTTAGCTGGTTTCCCTTGTTTGTTTTCTAAAGGTACATATTCGTAATCTGGTGGAACAGCAACTTCGTGTGTGCAGGACTCAATCGTTTCTATAGTATGTATTTTAATTCGTGGAGCTAATTCTTCTATGCTGTATACAAACAAAGAAACAAATTTACGAGGTGTTCATTTTATGCAGTTATTTGTTGTAACTTACTTTATATCGCTTAATACAAAATCCGATTTCAATTTCTTTACTTCAACATGATCGTTTTCAGTAGATTCGAATTCTCGTTTACCGCTACTATCCCCTGTTTTTCTGAGCATAAATTTGAGAAATTAGAAAAAACGTACACGAAGTAAACTATAAGGTTATGTCAAGGTTAGGAGAACAACTTACTTTTCAGCCAAGGAGGTGCTTGTGTTATCCTGTTTTATTGGCGGTATTTCCACTATTTCATCCGCTTCTTCGAAAACATCGAATAGATCAGCCGTAAAATTTGCCATTATAGAATTTATTTTTCAAGCAGCTATAGATTGTCCTCACACGCAGACACGAGTTCACTGTTTATTCTTATTTCCGAGCACGCCTCGACGCCACCTTGTATCGACAATCGAATTGTCAAGTCGATATACATCGATGCATCGAGTATAACATCGATTGTACATTCGATCAAGTATTCAAATTAAGAAGTTCGATGCGATTTGTAGTTTCAAATTATAAAAGTTCTTCGATATGATTACTTAATGAAAAAGAGGCAAACACGTTTTAATTAGAATTCAACAAACCGTAGCAAATATATAGCAATGAAGATTAAGTTAGATTACTTAAGTTAGATTAGAGTTATAAAAATAGTAAAATAGTAAACAGACCGATATAAACAATACAGGAAGAATATTGAAACAGGGGCGACCGGATAGTAGAACTAAAAATTCAAAATACGTATCATAAACAATGGCAAGTAAACGACGGGGAAAAAATACAAAATAATAAATAGCGAGAAGAAGGAATTTGGTTATGAGCAGAAGATTTGAAAGCCGTTCTAAAAAAAGATTTACGACTTTATCGAGAAGACATAGCGCGTGTGAGGATTTGAATGAGTCCGATCGTGTTTACGCTATGATGGGGCGACGAAACGGGACTTTCAGTTTCCTTTGGGCGTCCGCGAGTGCAAGATCGCACGAGTGTAACGGTCGCACTGGCACGCGCGTGAAAGTTTTCGTCTCCGAGCACTCAGCTTCCTCCGTACACGGTGTCAATTACGATTGGAACAGACAACGATAAAGGACCAAGGTATTTAACTCCCGCATCTTTTAGGGAATTTGTTTGTTCCACCGGGACGGCACCCGCATCGGCGTCGTACGCGACGACGTCCTGTATAATCAACGCGTTTACTCATTCTTCCGATTGCTTTCTCAGGTGCGTTGCACCTGACTCATTATCTTCAGGACGCGCCTCGTTCAGTCCGAGCGTTCCAACCCCGATTCGACAAAGTAAACTCACGATTTTCAGAGGACAATATTCGCACTCTTTTTTTTGGCTTCAGTCGTTGAAATGCACCAAAGACTTCCGACTGTTTCATCCTGATTATTTCGTCCCGCTGTCCTCGGTAAAAGGATAATAGAACAAAAAAAAAGGTACAACGAGACAGACGCGTAACAGACGCGCGAACGAGGCAGATCGAGACGGCGCGTTCGATCTCCCGAGAGTTAAAACGATGCGAAAAAGCGTGAAAGCATCGATAAAACTAAGGAGAGCGAAACGCCTCTGTCGTTCGCAATGTTTTGTATCGATCACGCGGTTCACGGACCACCGCAAAAAGTTAATCTGGTATTACGGTAACAGTGCAGTTACGTATTTGGTTAAATCAAGTGCACTCTCCAACTTCGGCAGCCTCGGAAAGTATCTGGCCCCTCGGTTGCCGCGTAACAAACAAATCAGAGAAGACTCGTTCAGAAATCGGAACGTCAGGGCTGATCATTCAATTTCGTTGCGATTCAACATTCGAGTCGTGAAACCGAGTTTTATGAAAGTTCGCTGGATCTAAAAGGGTGAAAAAAAGAAAAATGATCGCGGCGATCGATTTGAATCCTTCGGCTCCGATCTCGTTAACTAAACCGATCGCATCTCTAATCACGATAATCACAGACTCGCAGTCTGTGAGACACTAAAGAATTGCATTATTAGTTTATTATTACCTTGGGATCGTGGATCGATGGTAATCCACATTTCCTGCTGTTGTTTTCTTCGTACCAGGAATGTCGAGTTTCTATAAATTAGGAAAACGCATGATTTTACAACGTGGGAATAAATCCCGCAGAGATCTCCCTTAACAAGATCCCGATTCCGTCGAAACAAACGGGATGGTCCCGTCCGATCTCGTGACTAAACAGTCGTGACAAATGGTAAATGTCGAATAGTGAAGAAAAGTCGTTGAAAATATTTGATCGAAGAGCAAAAGCACGGGATTACGTCGTGCGACCCTCCGCGGTGACGAGGGTTACGAAACGGAGTGAGTCTTGACAGGATGGCCATATGTTAGAGTCGAAGGACGAGGATACAAGAACATGAGACGATCAATGGTCCACGAGTCATCGTGCAGCGGGTCGAAAAGTCAGGGTCTGTCCACCAGTCGATCTTTCTCAACCACCGTGCGCGTCCTCCGAAGGAATCCTGGTCGTTCGCTTTCGTGATCTGTTGATCTCCGTTTTTTTTTCGTAACTTCGATCGGTGGTCACGTCTCTTCGCCACCGGATCAACTGGCCATCGACTATCACAACGAACTATGAAGACAGAGATGCCAGCGTTAGTTCAATTAATGAGAGTTCGATCGTGTAAAACGACCCTTCTTTTTCTAAGAGTACAGTAATGTCTCTGTAATTGACGCTCAGATTGTCCGCAAAAATCGACAATTTGGGAAGAGGAGATACGATTATTCGAGCCTCGCGGTTTATTTTTATAGTTATAAATGGTCCACAATTATAAAAACGAGCCGCGAGACTCGAATAATCGTGTCTCCTCTTCCCAAATCGTCCATTTTAGTGGACGATCCGAGCGTCAATTAGACAGACATTACTCTACAATAAATTCTCCGTGATTGACACTTAGATTGTGCAGAAGATTGGACAATTTGGGAAGAGGAGATACGATTATTCGAGCCTCGCGGTTTATTTTTATAGTTATAAATAGTCCACGATTATAAAAACAAGCCGCGAAGCTCGAATAATCGTATCTCCTCTTCCCGAATTATCCATTTTAGTAGACAATCCGAGCGTCAATTACAGAGACATTACTCTACAATAAATTCTCCGTAATTGACACTTTGATTGTACAGAAGATTGGACAATTTTGGAAGAGGAGATACGATTATTCGAGCCTTGCGGTTCGTTTTTATACTTACGAATTGTGAACAATTATAAAAACGAGCTGCAAGGCTCGAATAATCGTGTCTCCTCTTCCAAAATTGTCCATTTTTGTGCACAACCTGAGCATCAGTTAGGGAGACATTACTGTACTCGCTTTACCAGAAGCTCGTAAATAATTCATTTTGATTACGACCGCGAATTTCAAACGATCACCGTGCGTATATGTACAGGTACAGGTAGAGTTGTTCAATGTGTACAATGCAGCGCTCCGACCATAGTAGAAGGGAACGACGAACGTAAATGGAGGCGTCATATAATTTTAGCTTTGCTCTGTTCGCGGTTGCCCTAAAGTAACGGGGCAACGATCGTTGCGATCGTTGAAAACAAGTTCACGACTTCGCAGAGTTCGTAGAACCGTTTTACCAAAGCGGATAGTCCGTACAATGAAATGGAATAAAATAGGCTGTGCGTACAGATTTTCGTCTGATTATCGAGAGCTTAATTCGATGTGCCTACTTGCGATGAAACGATACGTACAGATGCTTCGCGCTGTTCTATGATAATAAACTAATCTCGAATGAAATCCGGCGCGAACGAAACGATAGGATGAAAAAATCGTAGAATCAATGGGAAATCGAGGAGATCCCCGAACGTTTTGGACCGGCGAACCGGTTTTTATCAGTCACCGAGCCATAAACGATAGAATCGACGGCAGGTTGCGTCACGGTCTCCAATCTCTCTGGCCGTTAAACCGATTTTTATCAGGCGCACGTAGTCGTAAATAATAGAATCGGCCGATAGCTAAACGATCCGCACTGTCACGGAATAACGATTCGCGCGTTGTCCGTCGACGCACGTACGAGTACTGGCCGAAGAGCTGACGTAATCCACGGACGGGGCCCGATGAATATGGAGACACGGCTCATTGCCGCGAAGCAATTGTTATTTTTGTACTTTCTCCGGAGGAAAAGAAAAGCTTAATATCGCCCCCCTGATCGTACATGACCGGGACGTGTCGGTATATGTATATTGTACACGTACGTGTACCTGTACACGTGTATGCGTATACCTGTTCCGAGGACCGTACCGAAACGTGAATCTGCATGCATGAAAGTTGCTCCTCGCCCCGGGCTGTTTTGCCTTTCTTGCGGCTCTCGAAGAAAATTCCTGTTCGGGTCCCATGGATCCGTGCCCTACATTTCGCCGACCTCAACATTGATTTCGTATTCTAATGAACGGACCAACGGATGTTCCCTCCAGCCTCGTGCTCTCGTTGTTGCCGCATCGAAGATCGGATCTCCGATTCATAATTTCGCCGAGACTTTCGGCTCATCCAGGATTTCTAAATCTTAGAAATCCGAACACGAAAGTATAGCAACAACTAGTTTCTTTCGAATTTCGCTGTACAGCCTCGGAGAGCCGTTCTCTCGAACGCGGGGATTTCGTTGGACAAGTTTTATTCGCACGAAAAAGACCAGTCCTCCGCTGTGACACCATTCGCAAACCCCCGGAGGTGTCGACGCACTCGGTGGAAGGGGAGGTTGGCGTCCAGTCGATTAGAAATTACGCGCGGCGCTTTCGATGGCGTGAAAGTGACCATGGGAATCTTTTTCGGATAGCTCTTGCACGGTCGTAGTTCGCAACGAGTCCGTTTCTTTTTTCGAGACCGTGCCCGATCCGGGCCGTGCCGAGGAGCCGAGCTGGATCGGGCCGAGCCGGGCATTTTATTTTTCGAGGCGTGGGGCGGTGTGTTTTCATGGGACGGCCCTGAATGAGTGCGAGTGAAAGTCCGCGGAGTCAAATATTTTTCGCGGCTCCGTTTCGTGGACCGTTCCCGCACGATCTTCCCTATAAGATAAAAGTTTCTACGCGGCCGGCTCTTCTTTCTTTCTTTCTTTCTCGATTCGGCGCAACAGGTTTCTATTCTCCTAGCCCCGCGCGTGTCCCTCCTCTCTAATTTTCAGAAATTCTCGCAATCGCGAAAGCATCCCGACCCGCCGTATCGGCCGTACGCGGCTGACACAGTTCTCTTTCTCCGTCGTAAAAAAAATTCACTCTCGCCACGAACGCGTGTTTCCACCCGTTAACGAGATTCAGGATGGTCGGGGGAAAGTATCGTCGACTAAATCGTCGCATCCTTGGCAGCTGGGATACGAAAGCGCCGAAGCAATTGCAAGATACAGTAATGTCTCCCTTACTGACGCACAGATTGTCCGCTAAAATGGACAATTTTGGAAGGGGAGTCACGATTATTCGAGCCTTGCGGCTCGTTTTTATGATCGTGGATCATTTATAACTATAAAAATAAACCGGGCTCGAATAATCGTATCTCCTCTTCCCAAATTGTCCATTTTTGTGCGTAATCTGGGCGTCAATTAGAGAGACATTACTGTATCGTGTAAAATCGTCGATCTTAACCCTTTGCACTCGAAGCAATTTTAACTGTAAATCTAAATTAATTTCTCCGACTTACGGTATTTCCATTTTATATGATAAAGTGCATTTTATGCGTATGAAATTTAGTCTTGTGATTCATAGAACAACTGGACTTTTAACAATTTTTCAATCTATAATCTATTAATTAATTAATTTATTATTATTATTATTATTATTATTATTATTATTATTATTATTATTATTATTATTATTATTATTATT